GCTGGAAGACCCAGCCACGACCCATCTTCAATGCTCTTACTGAGGGAAGGAGGTTGTTGGCCAAGATCTCGCGATACATGGCCCCATCCATCCTCCCCTCAATATGGTGCAGTCGTCCTGTCCCCTTTGCAGAAAAGCATCCCCAAAGAATGATGTTTCCACCTCCATGCATCACGGTTGGGATGGTGTTCTTGGGGTTGTACTCATCCTTCTTCTTCCTCCAAACACGGCGAGTGGAGTTTAGACCAAAAAGCTATATTTTTGTCTCATCAGACCACATGACCTTCTCCCATTCCTCATCTGGATAATCCAGATGGTCATTGGCAAACTTCAGATGGGCCTGGACATGCGCTGGCTTGAGCAGGGGGACCTTGCGTGCGCTGCAGGATATTAATCCATGACGGCGTAGTGTGTTACTAATGGTTTTCTTTGAGACTGCGGTCCCAGCTCTCTTCAGGTCATTGACCAGGTCCTGCCGGGTAGTTCTGGGCTGATCCCTCACCTTCCTCATGATCATTGATGCCCCACGAGGTGAGATCTTGCATGGAGCCCCAGACCGAGGGTGATTGACCGTCATCTTGAACTTCTTCCATTTTCTAATAATTGCGCCAACAGTTGTTGCCTTCTCACCAAGCTGCTTGCCTATTGTCCTGTAGCCCATCCCAGCCTTGTGCAGGTCTACAATTTTATCCCTGATGTCCTTACACAGCTCTCTGGTCTTGGCCATTGTGGAGAGGTTGGAGTCTGTTTGATTGAGTGTGTGGACAGGTGTCTTTTATACAGGTAACGAGTTCAAACAGGTGCAGTTAATATAGGTAATGAGTGGAGAACAGGAGGGCTTCTTAAAGAAAAACTAACAGGTCTGTGAGAGCCGGAATTCTTACTGGTTGGTAGGTGATCAAATACTTATGTCATGCAATAAAATGCAAATTAATTACTTAAAAATCATACAATGTGATTTTCTGAATTTTTGTTTTAGATTCCGTCTCTCACAATTGAAGTGTACCTATGATAAAAATTACAGACCCTTACATGCTTTGTAAGTAGGAAAACCTGCAAAATCGGCAGTGTATCAAATACTTGTTCTCCCCACTGTATATATATATATATTTCACTGTGAACTGCTGCTGCTGACTATCAGGTATTGAGCAGGCTGTTACTGAGTGAGTGAATGAATTTTGGAGAGGGGGAGGGCCAGAGGGGTGTGTGTGAGTTGAAAGCACTGGTTGAGAGAGTGCTGCAGCCAGGGTTGGTCCTTGCCATTCTGCAGCCATAGGCAAGACCAAAAAATGCTGCCCCTCCCAAAAGTAGAATAGTCCCAGTAAGCAAAATGACACTGAAAAGACGTCTAAAATAAGTATTTTCCAGACGTTGAAGTTAGGTTCAATTTAGGTTCTGAATGAAAGGTGAAAACCTTTTCGTATATTTAAAATACATATTTTCGAGGAAGTTGAAAAGGCATATTTTCCGGACGTTGAAAAATAAGTATTTTCCGGATGTTGAAATCAGGCTAATTTTTGGTTCTGAATGAGAGTTGAAAATAAGTAATTTATAGACGTCTGTGTTTGGGCCAAATCAAGGTTGGTCCAGACCGGACAAAATCTGAACCAAACATAGGCTTAGGCTATGATTGGTTCAGATTTGGTCCGAACCGGATCAAAAACCAATGTCTGTGGAGGTGGAAATCAAGGCCGGTCCGGAACTGCACCAATAAAAGTCCAAAAGGCTTCGGGGTCGGTCCGTGCTTACTGAAGTGTAGCTTAGAGTGCTGACTGAAATATAATTGTATGAATGCCCATCTATGTGGTAAGCCTACCGTTTTTAAAACAGGCCATTGCATTGGCTTTACCAGTCCTGATTCCTGTGACTAATCAATTTGCCTATTTAAGCTCTGAATATCAGCTATTTGCAATGTGTTTACACATTTGTTTTTCACTATTTATGATACAAACTTGAAACCACTGATCATGACAATGGGGTGAAACTCCTGGACAACAGTTATGATTGTCCATTGCATATTGTTCATTTTACTTTGACCTATCCTGTTTTAGGATATGTTGTTTGTTAACACGACAGCTCACTCTTTATTTGATTAAGCGCCATTTAGGTTAGGCTATTTGATCAGAGAAACCTGCATGATGTAAAAAGTGTCCATCTCATTACATTGTCATACATTTTATCTCCAGCCTGTAGGCTACAGAAAAGGCCACATATTATTTCTACCATATCCTATATCTGCTACATGATCAGCGCTCACCTAAAAATCCCATATGCCACTGGTTGAGAGAAATTGTCATTGTTTTGGGGCAGAATTAAGTGAGGTTTTATGTGTTGTTGTTGTTGGAGGTGAGTCTTGGTCAGTTTAGCTCTGAAAATGCCGCCCTCATCAATCTGCCTAATGAGCGGGCCGGCCGTGGCTGCAGCAGTCATGGAGACAGAGCAGCACACACACACAGAGGCCATGACAACTTTTTACCAGTTGTAGGTAGGCTATTTACACAGAATAAAAATAGAAACGCAACATGTTAAGTGTTGGTCCCATGTTTCATGAGATGAAATAAAAGATCCCAGACATTTTCCATATGCACAAAAAGCTTATTTCTCTAAAATGTTGTGCACAAATTTGTTTACATCCCTGTTAGTGAGCATTTCTTCTTTGCCAAGATAATCCATCTACCTGACAGGTGTGGCATATCAAGAAGCTAATTAAACAGCATGATCATTACACAGGTGCACCTTGTGCTGGGGACAATAAAAGGCCACTCTAAAATGTGCTGTTTTGTCACACAACACAATGCCACAGATGCATGAAGTTTTGAGGGAGTGTGCAATTGGCATGCTAACTGCAAGAATGTCCACCAGAGCTGTTAACAGAGAATTTAATGTTCATTTCTCTACCATAAGCCACCTCCAACGTCGTTTTAGAAAATGTGGCAGTACGTCCAACCGGCCTCACAACTGCAGACCATGTGTATGGTGTCGTGTGGGTGAGCGGTATGCTGATGTCAACGTTGTGAACAGAGTGCCAATGGTGGCAATATGAAAGCACAGAGATACCGTGACGAGATCCTGAGGCCCATTGTGAGGCCCATTTTTTGAAAGGTATCTGTGACCAACAGATGCATATCTTTATTCCCAGAAATGAAATTCATATATTAGGGCCTAATTTATTTATTTCAATTGACGGATTTCCTTATATGAACTGAAACTTTAAAACGACTTGGAAAACGACTTTAAGCGCACTAGAGCTCTTTAGATAAATTTGCTCAGAGGTGGTTTAAAGTAAACTGCGTTCTAATGTCGACTTTTCTTATGGATAACAGTATCAAGCAAAGGACTTTACTCATAATAATAATAATAATAATAATAATAATAATATGCCATTTAGCAGACGCTTTTATCCAAAGCGACTTACAGTCATGTGCGCATACATTTTTACGTATGGGTGGTCCCGGTGATCGAACCCACTACCCTGGCGTTACAAACGCCATGCTCTAATTACATTGGTAACTCATGTTCAGTTCTAGGGTCTGGAGCGCTGCGCGAGTGGAAATTTGAAATGGAAGTTATGGAACTCCCTCTCATGCTTGTGTTGTGGGAAAATGTCCACAATGAAAAATACATTAAATGTGGAGAATGATAGGCTACATTTGCATCTGTTGGCCATCAAGTAGGCTATTAATATCTATGCCATTGCAGGCTACTGTAGCCTACCATTTGATACAATAAATATATATTGAAAGTGTTTCTTGCACAGATCCTCTGTCAAACTTTCATCACTCAAACTCTCCTGTTGGATTTATCTATAGTTATGCACATGCGCAAACTGGATTTATTTACATTTATAAACTGGGTGGTTCGAGCTCTGAACGCTGATTGGCTGACAGCCATGGTATATTTATCTTTTGTCTTGCGACATATTCTTAAATTTGCAAGAATTATTATTTTGATAGAAAAACGAATTTTGCTTCTTAGCCTACGTTGTTAAAAATGACATCAATATTCCTTAATTTCCTCGATAACATTATGGAAAAAGGGTTTATTGGATAATTATAAACTGGGTGGTTCGAGCCCTGAATGTTGATTGGCTGAAAGCCATGGTATATTTAAGCAATGAAGCACGAGGGGGTGTGGTATAACGCGGCGTGCCTGGATACAGCCCTTAGCCGTGGTATATTGGCCATATATCACAAACCCCGAGGTGCCTTATTGCTATTATTAACTGGTTACCAACTTAATTAGAGCAGTAAAAATAAATGTTATGTCATACCCATGGTATACGATCTGATATACCACAGCTGTCAGCCAATCAGCATTCAGGGCTCGAACCACCCAGTTTATAACAGATCTTATACTATGGGTATGAAAAAAACATTTATTTTTACTGCTCTAATTACATTGGTAACCAGTTTATAATAGCAATAAGGCACCTCGGGTGATATATGGCCAATATACCACGGCTAGTTTGCCACTGCTAAAATGGCATCATTTTTATGGACAAAGAAATGTCCATTTTAAAAAAGTAAAACGAAACGAAGTGCAGCCAGTTTGCAGTCTTTCCAGCTGCAGTTTGAAGTGATTGTGTTAGCTGTGTTGTTGGCTAGCTCCTCTGAACAACTGTGAGTGTCCTGACAAGTGAGCACATTTTCTATGCCAGCCGAAATCGCGCCTCATTAGCTCATTGTTATGGATGTTTCCAAATAAATGTCACTAGAAAAAGCTTAAACAAATGCAAATACTTTGCTGTTATTCTGGCTGCACGTGACTGTAAATTAGCCGTAGTTGCCTTGTGGGCTGGTTTTATGGGTCATTCGCTAGATATTTTGGCTAGACCTGGCAACCCAGATTGGGTGCACGGTTTGACCACCGCCATTGAAGTGAGGGCGCTCTGCCTTCCTCTCATACCAGTGCCTCTCACTCTGCCTGTCCGTCACACGTTGTGTACACTGGTACGGCGGGCGGCCTGACCCCCCACGAACCGGCGACTTCCTATTTTTCAGATTTCATGGCGATCGGGAGAGAGGGAAGACCACCGACGCACACACACTGTCTCAATCCAACCGAAATACATTTATTGGGGTAAATAATCCGCCGCTCGTGCATTACTACGTTACCGGGGTAGCGAATGATGCACGCATAACGTGCACGTGGGGGATATCCACGTTTCCTCGGTGATCTTGCGTTACTGAATTTCAGATATTCACTTTGTAGCGCCATTCGCTAATAACGAATCGGACGAAATGGGATCCACCAGTACGCATCTCCCACACGCAGTAACGTTAGGCTAGCAAGCAAGCTAACTTGCTATGCTAACCATCCAACGGTAGTTTGATATGTTTGTTAAAATATAAACTAGCCACCATTAGGTCGAACTTTTTCTGTATTTTTGGGATGCTTACAGCGCGTTTTGTTTAATTCAAATATGATTCCGATAATAAGTAACGATGTGTTTATCTGGCACGGTTATCTGACCAACTAACCTTAGCTAATGTTAGCTTACTGGCTAACTAGCTAGCCAGATGCGAAAACAAACGGTCGTTATTAGTAGCCATCCAGTTAATTTAGTTACTACGGTTAGTTAACTAGCTAGCTAACATGGCGGCTTCTGCAGATTTTTGAAACTTGTAGTTCGATAGTGAAATGTACTAAACTTTATCAGCCACATGTTGTAATGGGTTGGGCTTGCAAACATCTGAATTGGATACTTTGTATCAACCTTGTTCTTGTAAAATTATTAAAAACTGCCATTGTTTCCGTAACCCACTCACTGTTGATTACAGTGTGATGGGTTTCAAGTTTGGAATGCATAACGTTAATCATCGCTACTTTGAGCATTTATACGTTTTGGAATGTTGTCCGAACCTCTCAAACTCAAATTGTGATTCTATGTAAGTGTCATGTCATAGTTAGAGGTATGAAACTGAATGGATATTTTTTATTAGGGAAAGTTAGGCTGGCTAATTTCCCCCTCAAATTATGCCAGTGTACATCATCAAATGATAGCCAACTAACTGTTCTCTCTACGTTGGAGTCCAGTTTGTAAGCATAACTTGTACACATTATAATATGGCAGACAACCCTGTCCAAATTGATAGAAACTAGTCGTCATCTGACAGTGATCAAGGCCTAACTACTGTTCCACAAACACTTTCTGTTATAAGGCCTCTCATCACTCTGCCGAAGTATTCCATGTTTAGCACTCACCTTTTTATATTGGTTAGGCCTAGAAGTGACTGATGTGGTATTGTTTGGGGTGGGCCCTGGGCATGTGAGAGGTGGGTCGGGCGTTATGAGAATGCATCTTATATAATCACACACTTTTTCTTCTTAAATTGGGTCGTTGGAGGATGATTTAGGTCACGGGAGGACAGTCAACTTATAATTTGCGTCTTGAGATGAAAACGTTTAATAACCCCTATCAGTTATCTAAGTGTATATGTTTGTGTGAGTGAAGAAGGCCCTCTGATAATAACTAAATCATTTTTTTGGCTTGACAGTGAGATCTAAGCAGACAGACACTGAGCGGATTCTCCTGCTGGTAAGTCAGCCACTCCTCCATATGGTCACTAGTCTTTCCGTTTAGGCTTTGAAGGTGCACCATCTCTTTGTCCCTCCCGTTTAGGTAATTTATCTCGCACCATTGGATAGGTGAAAGCAAGGGTTATGAACTACATGACTTTCACCAATCCAGTCAAGTCAGAGTAAGTATAATCTTTAGGGAGAGAAGAATGGATGCATTTTCAAAGTACTGAAACAGGCCCTAGGTTTAAATTGACCACAGAGAAAGCAGAAGTCAGAATACACACTTGCCAATACCACACTACGTGGGTATATGTTTATTTGGGTGTAATTTCTGTTTTAGTTTGATGCAATATTGTACAATGCAAGTGTAAACAACTTGGATTGCTTATTCTTTACCAGTAAAGTTTGACAGAATTTGAGAGGGAGGGAGAAGACACTTTTATTTGTGTAAGAACATAGGATTATCATTAGTTTAGTAGACGCCTAAACCTTAAGGCCCTGTGTTATTGTAACGTCTTAAGGCTCCTAAACCTTAAGGCCCTGTGTTATTGTAACTTCTTAAGGCTCCTAAACCTTAAGGCCCTGTGTTATTGTAACTTCTTAAGGCTCCTAAACCTTAAGGCCCTGTGTTATTGTAACTTCTTAAGGCTCCTAAACTTGAAACCACATTTGCATTACTAACCTCTGAAGATCCTGCAGCAGTAACTGCACCATACAGTAACTGTGATAGTGGGGTTTTTCCCTCTCTCAAATTCTGTAAAACTTTATTGGTACGAAATACGCAATCCAAGTTGCAGAAGCAATACAACAGAAATGACTAATAAAACCTTTCACATTCTAACAGGTCACAACTCTGTCTCTCTTGCGCTCTCTCCCCCTCTCTCACTATATCTCTCTCTCTGTGCAGGTGTTGCTCAGTGGGCAGTAGTGGTTTCTAGTGCTGGTGTTCTGTTGAAGGGGCTCCTTAGCGCTCTGTGCTGTTGTCTTGCTGTGTCCTGGGTTAGGACTGCCAGCCTATGGCTCTAATGGACAAACACAAAGTAAAGCGACAAAGACTCGACCGCATTTGTGAGGGTAAGGAGCCGTGTTTTGCGACACACAAACGCACGCACAGACCACATACACACTGACCATACACACACTGCGCATCTTACATCTTATCTTTTTCTATAATAGGCATTTTAAATATTAAGATTTCACAATTAATTTTACCAGGTTATAGTCATATGGTAATTAGTATTCTCACATGATATTCTCACACCTCCATCACAAATTCATAATACAAAATGGTTTCTACAAGTCTGATTTGGTGTATCAGAACATCCTCCAGAGAGGATGTGCAGTGTTTTTCAAATTGATTGAATGTATGATTACTGCTTCTTATCGCATGCCTATGTATATAATCTTTTGCACTTTCAGTGCATTCGGAAAGTATTCAGACCCCTTGACCTTTTCCACATTTGTTACGCTACAGCCTTATTCTAAAACTGCATTTATTTATTTATTATATTCCCCTCAATCTACACACAATACCCCATAATGACGAAGTGAAAACAGGTTTTTAGAACATTTTGCAAATGTCTTAAAAATAAAAAAACAGAAATACCTTGTTTACATAAGTATTCAGACCCTTTGCTATGAGACTCTAAATTGAGCTCAGGTGCATCTTGTTTCCATTGATCTTCCTTGAGATGTTTCTACAACTTGATTGGAGTCCACCTGTGGTAAATTCAATTGATTGGACATGATTTGGAAAGGCACACGCCTGTCTATATAAAGTCCCACAGTTTACCATACATGTCTGGGGCGGCAGGTAGCTTAGTGGGTAAGAGCGTTGTGCCAGTAACCGAAAGGTCGCTGGTTCTAATCCCCGAGCCGACTAGGTGAAAAATCTGTCGATGTGCCCTTGAGCAAGGCACTTAACCCTAATTGCTTCTGTAAGTCGCTCTGGATAAGAGCGTCTGCTAAATGACTAAAAAAAAAAAAAAAATGTCAGAGCAAAAACCAAGCCATGAGGTTGAAGGAATTGTCCGTAGAACTCAGAGAAAGGATTGTGTCGAGGCACAGATCTGGGGAAGGGTACTAAAAAATTTCTGCAGCATTGAAGGTCCCCAAGAACACAGTGGCCTCCATCATTCTTAAATGGAACAAGTTTGGAACCACCAAGACTCTTCCTAGCTGGCTGCCCGCTCAATTTGAGCAATCAAGGGAGAAGGGCCTTGGTCAGGGAGGTGACCAAGAACCCGATGGTCACTCTGAAAGAGCAACAGAGTTCCTCTGTGGAGATGGGAGAACCTTCCAGAAGGACAACCATCTCTGCAGCACTCCACCAATCAGGCCTTCTTTTTTTTTGTGGCCAGACGCCACTCCTCAGTAAAAGGCACATGACAGCCCGCTTGGAGTTTGCCAAAAGGCACCTAAACGAGACTCACACCATGAGAAACAAGATTATCTGGTCAGATGAAACCAAGATTGAACTCGTTGGCCTAAATGCCAAGCGTCACATCTGGAGAAAACCTGGGGCACCATCCCTATAGTGAAGCATGGTGGTGGCACCATCATGCTGTGGGGATGTTTTTCAGCGGCAGGGACAGGGAGACCAGTTGGGATCGAGGGAAAGATGAACGGAGCAAAGTACAGCGAGATCCTTGATGAAAACCTGCTCCAGAGCACTCAGGACCTCAGACTGGGGCGAAGGTTCACCTTCCAACAGGACCACGACCCTAAGCACACAGCCAAGACAACGCAGGAGTGGCTTCAGGACAAGTCTCTGAATAAATGTCCTTGAGTGGCCTAGCCAGAGCCCGACTTGAATCCGATCGAACATCTCTGGAGAGACCTGAAAATAGCTGTGCAGAGACGCTCCCCATCCAACCTGACAGAGCTTGAGCTTGAGGCTCTGCAGAGAAGAATGGGAGAAACACCCCAAATACAGCTGTGCCAAGCATGTAGCGTCATACCCAAGAAGACTTGATGCTGTAATCGCTGCCAAAGGTGCTTCAACAAAGTACTGAGTAAGGGTCTGAATACTGTTGTAAATGTGATATTTCAGTTTTTTTGCTTTGTCATTATGGGGTATTGTGTGTAGATTGACGAGGAAAAACATATTTAATCCGTTTTAGAATAAGGCTGTAACGTATAAAAATTTGGAAAAAGTCAAGGGGTCTGAATACTTTCCGAATGCACTGTACATCAGCTGCTGATATGGGAAATCTGTTATTAATGATCAGCCTATTGGTGTGTGGAGTGGCAGATAGGATATAGGGCTGGGAATTGCCAGGGACCCGAGGATATTATTACAACGCTTTGGTGGCAATACGATATGTATTGCGACTCTCACGGTTGTAAAGGTATTGCGATTTTATTCGATGTTCCAAACATATTGCTCACCATATGTCTGCTGCAGAGAGACGAGAGAGCATGAGAAAATTAGTTTTGATCAGTCATGGAAATAGAAGCGCTGAAAATAAATGTGGCTCCCTATTTCAAAAGAAGACGGAGAACAAGCTATGAAGGAAAAATGCTGGAGTTTTGGTGCAGGTACAGCCAACTAACTCAAAAATAATATTGCGATATTGTCAAAATATAGTCAAAAATAATATCCTGATATTTTTACATTTACATTTTAGTCATTTAGCAGACGCTCTTATCCAGAACGACTTACAGTTAGTGAGTGCATACATCATTTTTTTTATACTGGCCCCCCGTGGGAATCGAACCCACAACCCTGGCGTTGCAAATGCCATGCTCTACCAACTGAGCTACATCCCTGCCGGTCATTCCCTCCCCTACCCTGGACGACGCTGGGCCAATTGTGCGCCGCCCCATGGGTCTCCCGGGCGCGGCCGGCTACGACAGAGCCTGGATATGTAACTGTATTGATTGCCCCCCTCCCTCCCACATCACTAGTAGAATAGTGTAGTGATGGGTTCGGGATAGTCAGAGAGAGAGCAAAATGCCCTTATCTCACTTCCTGTTTCTGTCTGTGGGTATTTCAAGAGGGGTTAGTGGGTGGCCAAGGTCAAAATGTTGAGGATGATTGAGTACATGACAGGCTAGAAAAATAGACCAGTTAGATTACAACATGATCAGTGTTTTTTGACAATGACTGAAATGAACTGAAAAGGTTGAATGGTGTCGCTTTGGCCTAGATGTAAAACAAATAAATTGGTATTGCAAGTCATGCTAAGCCTCAATTTGTAGTGTATACAAATGTCATAAAAAGGTTATAAAATCATATAAAAGATGGTCCAGTTATCTTATTAAATTCTGGACATATTAGACTAAATTCTGGTCTGTACTAGCCCAGTCCAAACTAAATAAAATGGTGCAAAATGCAGCCCTTGGGTGATGTTGAGATAAAATGGAGGGAGTTGTCTGGGAGAGTCAGGTCCCCTGAGATGAGCGAGAGTAGCAGGGTGAGGGGTCGCAGCCGTGGCTACAGGGAAACAGGCCAGCTGTCTCTTTAAAAAACAACAACAGCCAGACCCAGCCACTGCCTGGCTATGCTAATGAGGTTAGTGCTGGTTGGCTGGCCCTCAATGGAGCCGCCCGTGATTGGAGCCGGACAGTGGGGGAGGGGCTGGGTGTGGATGACAGCAGGGACCTAGCCGGCCACGAACAGTCTGACAGAACGAGAGCGAGAAAAGAAAGAACGATAGAGGGAGAGAGCGAGGCAAGAGAGCGTGAGAGAGAGAGAGAGAGAGAGGAAGACAGGCTGGCAAACTTCATAATGCAAGGTTAGGCGCCGTGTGTGTGTTGTTAATTGTGTGTGTGAAGGAGAGCTTGAAGATGGAAGGGGGCGATATGGGCTTGGGTGTGGTGTTGCCGACGAGTGTGTGTGTCGTTTCCTTTTTGCTCAGCGTGTCCTTGTAGCGAATTGAGCAACTGTGTGTGTGTGCACGGCGCCTGCGTGTTTGTGTGTGTTATTGTGTGTCTGGCTAGAGGTTGGGTGGAGTAGTGCTGCATTATCATCCTGCCCCTCCCCCTCTCCCTCGCTCTGCTCTCTCTCTCACACTCCTTAAACCAAGGGAAAGAGAAAGGAGGAGGAGGGAGGGAAAGAAAAGGAGGAGGAGGGAGAATGAATGAAGCGCTGAATGAATTGCATTGTGTGCGCGGCCATGCTTGTGCTCCATAAGCCTTGTACGCAAGCGTCCTTTACTCAAATGTGTTTGCGCTTCTACGGTTGCCTTTTGTTAACCAGTAATTGTGAATCCATTGTGATCTCCAGCATGTGGAGATTAAGATAAAGGAAAATGCTTTATGTTTTTTAATGAGATGTAGATTCACGTTCTTAAGCCTTCTCAGCTAGGCCCAGTTGGGAAGTTGGGAAATGCTCTGACGTCACAGGAAGTGATAGGATAGGAACTGGTGGCCTGCCAGCCACCAGTTCCTATCCTACTCCCCCCTCTCTTTGTCCCTCCCCCACACTCCCACTATGACACAGGACATATTGTTTGTGGATGTCTGTCTGTGTGTCTATCTGTCCCTGCATGCATCCTGCCCTCTGTCCAAGTGAATGTTCCAGTGAGACACATGTATTCCCCCCCCCTTCTTGTCCCTCTCCCCCACCCCAGACCATACACCTGTCACGCAGAGACCGTGTGTGTGTGTGCGCGCTTCTGGTCTAGAGGCCAGTGGTGTGGTCTGGTGTGTGTTACATCTCTCTCTCTCTGTGTGTGTGTGTGTGTGTGTGAGAAATGGGCAGTGCGTTCCGATTCAGAAGGCCAGTTCATGTTTAGTTCAGTGAGAAGGAGAGCGCGAAGACATACACACACAAATATGTCCTATGATGATGGTATCGGTGGTGATGTTAGCTGTTGTTGCAGTTGGCCACATTTGTCTAGTGACCTTTGGCACAGATGTTTGCCTTGTGCTTTGTCTCACATTCTGGCCACTTGGTGCTGAATGATTGTTGAGGATTTCGATGCAGACGTTGATGGTTATTTTGGCTGAACGTTTGCAGCACAATGGTGGACAAATGTAGCCATGTATCAGTGGCGTGTGTTTACAGAAGTGTGTACAGAACAGGTGTGTGTGTGTGTTTGGGGCGGGCTGGTACAGCCTCACTCGTCTGGAGCCTCCAGACGAGGGAATTTAGGTCATGACTCCGAAGAGGCTCTCTCTACCCCCTCCCCCCTTCTTCCCTGCACCCCGCATCTCAACCCCTCTACTGCCCCTCCCCCAGCCGTCACACTCGACCTCCACTGGCACTGCAGCCAGCTACAGTGTAGCTCCACAAGCATCTTCATCCTCTGCTCTGGCTAGAGTCAGGGATGTGTGTGTCCTTCAGTGTGTCTTACATGTGTCATCATAGCATGTGTGTCTGAATGCCATGGGGTTGGATGTATTGACCTTTCAGGTTAGTTATTGTGTCTTTGTCATCTCAAATGCTCTCTCTGCAGCAGCAGATCCAGTTACACGTTACCATTGCGTAACCGTCACGCACGCGCACACACACCCACTGATCCATTTTTACATTTGACATTTTAGTCATTTAGCAGACGCTCTTATCCAGAGCGACTACAGTTAGTGAGTGCATACATTATTTTTTATTACTTTTTTCATACTGGCCCCCCGTGGGAATCAAACTCACAACCCTGGCTCTACCAACTGAGCTACATCCCTGCCGGCCATTCCCTCCCCTACCCTGGACGACGCTGGGCCAATGGTGCGCCGCCCCATGGGTCTCCCGGTCACGGCCGGCTACGACAGAGCCTGGATTCGAACCAGGATCTCTAGTGGCACAGCTAGCACTGCGATGCAGTGCCTTAGACCACTGCGCCACTCGGGATCCCTCAGGGTGCCAGTGTTGACAAGGCCCTGGCTGTTTGTGTGGGAGGAGAAGAGAGCATCATGGGACTCACTTTGGGAGAGTTTGCTTTGGTAGTAGTAATCATGTTAGTGGTCATTGGTCAGACTCAGTCACTGTTCAGGTTGAACCCGCTCTGGCCCCAGCACTGATGATGCCAGTGGCTATGATCATCCCTGGGCAAGTTCAGAGGGACTCTAATGGTGTGTATTGTAATGGTCAAGGCAATGGTGCGTGTAGAAGGTTTAGGGCAGTGACTCATTTTGCCCAGACTCCAGAAAGATTGTCGAATCACTAACCTCTGTGAACAGTCACATCTGAATAACATGGTGTGGTATGCTGTGTTTTTTACTGTATCACACATTCCCAAAGGAAGCCATTTTGTATGGGCAAACGACCAACTCAAAATGGACTGTAAACATCAGATAAACACTTATCGTTTGATGGTTATAATATGGACATTTTCAAAAATGTGTCCCGTTCTGGAATCAAACCCACAACCCTTAGTGTTGCAAGCACCATGCTCCAACCAACCTAGCCAGCCATTGGAACCAAAGCAGCACATACGATTTCAGAAGAATGCAACTATTTAGTGACCTTTTCATAATGCCAAATCATGTCTTAACTGTCCCCCTCTCCCCTGTGTGCAGGCATCCGCCCCCCCATCCTGAACGGGCCCATGCACCCTCGGCCCCTGGTGGCCCTGCTGGACGGGCGTGACTGCACCATAGAGATGCCCATCCTCAAGGACGTGGCCACTGTGGCCTTCTGTGATGCCCAGTCCACCCAGGAGATACACGAGAAGGTAGAGCTATAAACAAACACACACACTGAGTTTACAAAAAAATTAGGAACACCTGCTCTTTCCATGAACAGACTGACCAGGTGAATCCAGGTGAAAGCTATGATCCCTTATTGATGTCACTTGTTAAAGCCACTTCAATCAGTGTAGATGAAGGGGAGGAGACAGGTTAAAGAAGGTTTTTTAAGCCTTGAGACAATTGAGACATGGATTGTCTGTGTGTGCCATTCAGAGGGTGAATGGGCAAGACAGAAGATTTAAGTGCCTTTGAACGGGGTATGGTAGTAGGTGTCAGGTGCACCGTTTTGAGTGTGTCAAGAACTGCAACGGTGCTAGGTTTTTCACACTCAACAGTTTCCTGTGTATATCAAGAATGGTCCACCACCCAAAAGACATCCTGCCAACTTGACACAACTGTGGGAAGCATTGTCAACATGGGCCAGCATCCCTGTGGAACGCTTTCGACATCTTGTAGAGTCCCATGCCCTGACAAATTGAGGCTGTTCTGAGGGCAAAAGGGGTTGCAACTCAATATTAGGAAGATGTTCACTCAGTATATAATTTATAAGGCAACGTACACTATGTGGTTGTAAGCTTCCTGTTCATGTGGCTATAAGCGGCAGTTCCTGATTTAAAAAAAATACAATAAAGTTATTCAAGACTACCTCCTGACTGCCAGCCATATGTTTATTTGAGTATTTATGCACTCTCCCTTTAACGCCCTGTCTAACCAGCAGTATAATGGTGTGTTAACCCTGTCTAACGGTCCTCTGTAGCTCAATTGGTAGAGCACGGCGCTTGTAACGCCAGGGTAGTGGGTTCGATCCCCGGGACCACCCATATGTAAAAATGTATGCACGCATGACTGTAAGTCGCTTTGGATAAAAGCATCTGCTAAATGGCTTATTATTATATTATTATTATTATTATTATATTATAACGGTGTGTGTAAACCCTGTGTTACCAGCTGTATAACGGTGTCTGTGTATTAACCCCGTAGGTGCTGAACGAGGCAGTGGGGGCTCTGCTCTACCACACCATCACTCTCTCCAGAGACGACCTGGATAAGTTCAAAGGCCTCCGAGTCATTGTCAGGATCGGCAGTGGCTTCGACAACGTCGACATCAAAGCTGCAGCTGAGCTGGGTGAGTCATGCACGAATACACACACACAGTATGCCGACGAACAGGTACGCACACACACACACACACGGATGCATATTACACATAATCAGAGACGCCGCCTTTCCTAGATCTGCCCCATCAGTCCTCTCTTTCCTTCATCTTACCATCTCCCTCTCTCCCAGGCATCGCAGTGTGTAACGTGCCAGCGTGCTCGGTGGAGGAGACGGCCGACACGTCCATGTGTCTGATCCTGAACCTGTACCGCCGCGTCACCTGGATGCATCAGGCCCTGAGGGAGGGCACCAGGGCGTCCAGCGTGGAGCAGATCAGGGAAGTGGCCGGGGGAGCTGCCCGCATCCGGGGGGAGACGCTGGGCATCATCGGCCTGGGTGAGTGGGGGTACTCTGGGCAAGGGTATGGAGGTTGATGGAGTTACTGGGCAGTGGAGAATGGGGCTGATTTGGAGCAGCTGATTTTGATGTAAGGCTAGTGGCCTCCAGTCTGGCCTGTTTTCAATTGAGAATTGGAGCTGCCAGAGGCCCTGGAATTTGCTTTAGGTACCTACAGTGGGGAAAAAAAGTATTTAGTCAGCCAACAATTGTGCAAGTTCTCCCACTTAAAAAGATGAGAGAGGCCTGTAATTTTCATCATAGGTACACGTTAACTATGACAGACAAATTGAGAAAAAAAATCCAGAAAATCACATTGTAGGATTTTTAATGAATTTATTTGCAAATTATGGTGGAAAATAAGTATTTGGTCACCTACAAACAAGCAAGATTTCTGGCTCTCACAGACCTGTAACTTCTTCTTTAAGAGGCTCCCCTGTCCTCCACTCGTTACCTGTATTAATGGCACCTGTTTGAACTTGTTATCAGTATAAAAGACACCTGTCCACAACCTCAAACAGTCACACTCCAAACTCCACTATGGCCAAGACCAAAGAGCTGTCAAAGGAACCAGAAACAAAATTGTAGACCTGCACCAGGCTGGGAAGACTGAATCTGCAATAGGTAAGCAGCTTGGTTTGAAGAAATCAACTGTGGGAGCAATTATTATGAAATGGAAGACATACAAGACCACTGATAATCTCCCTCGATCTGGGGCTCCACGCAAGATCTCACCCCGTGGGGTCAAAATGATCACAAGAACGGTGAGCAAAAATCCCAGAACCACATGGGGGGACCTAGTGAATGACCTGCAGAGAGCTGGGACCAAAGTAACAAAGCCTACCATCAGTAACACACTACGCCGCCAGGGACTCAAATCCTGCAGTGCCAGACGTGTCCCCCTGCTTAAGCCAGTACATGTCCAGGCCCGTCTGAAGTTTTGCTAGAGTGCATTTGGATGATCCAGAAGAGGATTGGGAGAATGTCATATGGTCAGATGAAACCAAAATAGAACTTTTTGGTAAAAACTCAACTTGTCGTGTTTGGAGGACAAAGAATGCTGAGTTGCATCCAAAGAACACCATACCTACTGTGAAGCATGGGGGTGGAAACATCATGCTTTGGGGCTGTTTTTCTGCAAAGGGACCAGGACGACTGATCCGTGTAAAGGAAAGAATGAATGGGGCAATGTATCGTGAGATTTTGAGTGAAAACCTCCTTCCATCAGCAAGGGCATTGAAGATGAAACGTGGCTGGGTCTTTCAGCATGACAATGATCCCAAACACACCGCCCGGGCAACGAAGGAGTGGCTTCGTAAGAAGCATTTCAAGGTCCTGGAGTGGCCTAGCCAGTCTCCAGATCTCAACCCCATAGAACATCTTTGGAGGGAGTTGAAAGTCTGTGTTGCCCAGCGACAGCCCCAAAACATCACTGCTCTAGAGGAGATCTGCATGGAGGAATGGGCCAAAATACCAGCAACAGTGTGTGAAAACCTTGTGAAGACTTACAGAAAACGTTTGACCTGTGTCATTGCCAACAAAGGGTATATAACAAAGTATTGAGAAACTTTTGTTATTGACCAAATACTTATTTTCTACCATAATTTGCAAATAAATTCATTAAAAATCATACAATATGATTTTCTGGATTTTTTTTCTTCTCATTTTGTCTGTCGTAGTTGACGTGTACCTATGATGAAAATTACAGGCCTCTCTCATCTTTTTAAGTGGGAGAACTTGCACAATTGGTGGCTGACTAAATACTTTTTTCCCCCACTGTATATGCCCCGCCATGGAAATACAAACACTAGTTAACCCTGTGCGGTCCTCTCCCTGCAGGTCGTGTGGGCCAGGCGGTGGCTCTGCGGGCCAAGGCGTTTGGTTTCGGGGTGATCTTCTACGACCCCTACCTACCCGACGGCGTGGAACGCTCCCTGGGCCTGCAGAGGATGGCTACCCTCCAAGACCTGCTCATCCACTCTGACTGTGTCTCTCTACACTGCAGCCTCAACGAACACAACCACCACCTCATCAACGACTTCACCATCAAACAGGTACGCAATGTCAGATGCGCACACACACATATTTTATGTGTATGTTTTAGGGCTGTCAAACGATTAAAATAATTGCGATTAATTGCACAATTTTCTGTAGTTAATCACGATTAATCCCCCAAAAATTATTTGCTCAAATTTGGCCCTTAAGAAAAAAACAATCCCAGTAAAAAGCAGTGCATTGAGTTACAGGCATATTATGCTTTTATTTTAAGGGATGGAAACAGTCTGTATCAGAAATAAAATGTAAGCATAGTAGCTACATGTAATATTTTTGCTTTGTAATTTCAGAACATGTGTTTTTAATATCAAAATGTATGCACTCACTAACTGTAAGTCGCTCTGGATAAGAGCGTCTGCTAAATGACTAAAATGTAATAGTGGAATGATAGTGTTTCACAATATTTTTTTCCTCCCAGAAAATGTTTGGGCACAGACAAAATTGCATTCTAATGGTGCAGCCTTCTTATTGGTCAACAAAAGACGGACCGGCTCTTGTTGTTAAATTGACTGGGCCTGAGCCTCATGCTAACCGAGTCCGTTAGCGTGCGATACTTATACCAATCGCTCAGCCCCAGTCAATTTGACAACGAGATTTGCTGGGCAAAAAAAATATAACATGTAGGTCTTTTTATTAGGCCTACTTACTCCCTCTTATCAATGTACTTGAAGTTTAACACTTGCGTGCACACACACACACACACACACACACACACACACACACACACACACACACACACACACATATATACAGTTAAAGCTTCAGGCATTCTAAATGAGTGTCCTCTCAATTTCTGATTATAGGGTTGAGTACAGGAAAACAGAACTGTCTCTATGGATACAAAGAACAAAAAGCATTTAAACCTGTTCAACAATGTTATGAATTCCACAGAAGAACAAAACAGATCAGCCAGGTCTGAGTTCATGTAATACAGCTATTAGATGTAGCCTAGGCTACTTCAACATGAACTAGTCACAAGCTGTTACTACTAGAATTGGGATAATTTGCTTAAATCTTTTGACCTGAGAAATGCAACAAAAACAGTAGCTAAGTGGAATGGATGTCCTGTTCTGATTCAAATCATTGTGGGAAGTTTGAGTTTTATCGAGGCATTCAGCCATGGCATTGTAAACATTATTTTGGTTAGCTAGCTAATGTTAGCATAACTAGCTAGCTACTTTTGTACAAATGATGTTTTTGCTGTTATCTAAAGAAACACATGAGAATGTGTTTATGGTTGAACTTTCTGTACGTTTTCCTTAATTGTTGCTCAAAGCTGCGCTCATAGTGGATGTTTTTAAGGGTGTTTTCACACAGTCCTCTTTTAAAATAACTGATCTCAGTCCTATTTAAAGTGAACTCAGGGGTAAAGAACTCAGTTCTCTTTGCATTCACACTGCCCTTGCCTTTGAATGAGGACTCCACTCTTTTGTCAGTTCACTTCACCTTTTTTGAGGTCAGAGTCCTCTTTGCGTTCGCATTTCTATGTTTAGAAAGGACCCAAAATATTTGTGCAATATTCACTCAATGCACTCTGGGTAAAAGTACAGGATAAGCCATTCCATCAGAACGTGCTATCAGACAGCTAGATACCTACTTACATTTTGGAAGCTAATAGATTGCATTTTGTTAAAAGATGAGACATACTAAACTACCACACTATTCTCACACTATTCAAACCCCACATTCGAATAAACAGTTCATGAACCTCTTAGCCTATAGGTCAACATATTGCAGATAATCTGCTAATCGGCACACATTTTTTACGCGAACCGGCACATCTTCTCTCTCCAACGTGAAGGGGTTATTGCAGGGGAAACGGTGTTGCAGTAGTCTAGTGTGTGGTGTGGTAGTAATGACAAGCGAACCTGGGGAGCTTTGCGTTCACATTGTCCTAAAAAAGGGAACCGGACCGCAGAATTCAAGCGAACCAAACTCGGACCACCTCTCGAGATGGTCTCAGTTCGGTTCGCTTCGGGGGCTCTTTTGAGGGGTCCGAGTTCCTTTTGGAGTGTTCACACTACACCAAAAATGAGGGGAACCGCACGGAGTTCACAAAAATTGGCTGAAAGGGACCAAGTGTGAAAACACCCTGAGAGACAGACGGTGCTACAAAACAGAAGCTGCCACCGAGTGCGGAGTCCGTGCGGAAACACGTGCGCTTAAAAGGGGTCCGTGCGATGAAGAAATGGTGACGCGATTTAAAGGCGTCAAAAAAATGAATGCCTTTTAAAAATGTAACGCCTTATTAACTCGTTAACATTGACAGCCCTAGTATGTTTGTAAATTCACGTGCTTACATGCATATCGAGGTAACTTACAAAATAATGGAAAGACTTGACTAAATGAGGGATACAAAGTATATTAAAAGCAGGTGCTTCCACACAGGCCTCGTTCCTGAGTTAATTATGGGAGTATGTGTGTATATAAAGTTAACCCCGTGTGTTCTGTGTGTAGATGCGTCAGGGAGCGTTCCTGGTGAACTCTGCGCGGGGAGGGCTGGTGGATGAGAAGGCTCTGGCTCAGGCCCTGAAGGAAGGACGGATACGAGGAGCCGCACTGGACGTCCACGAGACAGAGCCCTTCAGGTACACACAGCCCTCTGAAGGATCCTAGCCTGATCTCTAACCCCCACACGTCTGTTTGACCGTGCAACCTCCTCTCTCTTTCCCCCTCTAACCCTAACCCGCTCTTTGTTGTTGTAGTTTCTCCCAGGGCCCTCTGAAGGATGCTCCCAACCTCATCTGTACCCCCCACACGTCCTGGTACAGTGAGCAGGCCTCCATCGAGGCCAGAGAGGAGGCAGCCAGGGAGGTGCGCCGTGCCATCACTGGTAAGACACTAACCCCACACATAACTTTGTATTATTAGTTATTACATAGTTATGAATTGGTTATTGATTATTTCAATGGCTTTATGTAGCTTGAGTATAGCTGCATGTTTTGAGGTTCTGAGCTGTCTGGTGTTATATCTTACCTACACTCTTTTTTTGCAAACCAATGTGGTGAGAGTTTAAAAAGGAAATAATAAAAAGCATGTGCAGGAGAGCAAAAAACCCTGAGTGGCTTGTAAGGCACCTCCCCCTTTCAAATATTACTAGAACAAAACAAAAATGGTATCTAGGTTATTGAAATAGAGATTGGGGATTTACACGCTAACCCCTTGTCCCCTGTCTGTCCTCTGTTAGGGCGTATCCCAGACAGTCTGAAGAACTGTGTGAATAAGGAGTATCTGATGGCAGCGTCCCAGTGGCCCAGTATGGAGGCTGCGACAGTCCACCCTGAACTCAACGGAGGCGGTGCATACAGGTGAGACCCTCAGCGGTTAAGGTGAGCACAGGAGAGGAGGACAACCAAGTCAGGAAGTGTATCATGATTATTATTATACTTATTTTATGCAAGATATGATATCTGTTCTTCACAGTAGATTTGTGTGTAGATGAATGTGCTGCAATGTTGCGCCCTCCTGAACAAGGCCCTGATATATATATTTCTCTCTCTCTCTCTCGCTCTCTCTTTACGTCAGGTTTCCTGTGGGTCTGATCAGCGTGGCAGCAGGGGGTCTGACGGGGGCGGGAGCAGGGGTAGAGGCCCTGGCTCACGCCATCGCCCCTGTGTCCCATCCCCCCCACACCTCATCGCCAGGGCAACCCAACAAGGCGGAGGCAGACAGAGACATCCCTTCCGACCAATAGCACCCCAACATTCCTCCGTCACCCCTGGAAACCAACAACCTCACCCTCCCCTCCCACCATCATCGCCACCAACCCTCTTCTCTGACCTCAGGCAGATTGACACTGGGGTCCCGGTTCGATCTGGATCTGTTCAAGCTCCGGCCCTTCAGAACACAGTACCAGCCCAGGAGTGACCTGCCCGTCCACAAAATCCACCTCCGTAACCCTTCCTCGGACCCCCTCAACTCCCCCTCTATCCATATTTCCCCCACACCAACAAACCTTCAGCAATAACTCTCTTCTCAAGTATTCAATTGGATTGGCATTTTTATTCTTTTTTCTTTTTTTTGGAGGAAAAACAAAACATTTTGTTTTGAGTAGCATTTCTGCAGCGAAGCTGGACTGTGAGTCTGGCTGTTGTGATCAGTGAGAGAGGCGTGTAGGGTTGGCCTGGTGTACATTAGTGGCTATCTGATGTTACTGCTATCTTTTCTCTTTCTCTTACGCCTCTCTCTCATTTTAGAAAATGTGTACAAAAGTAAGACAGACACAACACAACATCGGGCTTCTATTGGCCCGATAATTCCTAGCCTGATCCCAGATCTGTATCTAGCTAGCTTTAGCCAAGTCAGCTAAAGCACATACAGATCTGGGACCAGGCTACCTGATTCCCTGTCTGTTGGCTAGTGTAGGGATGAATATTGTCAGTGTAGAGCTGAAACCTTAACATTACCTCTCCTCTGCCGCTACTTGGCTGTGTTAAACCCTGTTTCTTCTCCTTAAGATGGTGAACCCTCTCCGTTGGCAGGCGACAATTCTCTTCCTTGCTTTTACGTCCCGTTTTGATGATGTAATGGCCGAGCTCCTTTGTTCCAGCGCCAGTCACTTCCTGTTGGAAGGTCAGATGGATGGCATCCTATGGACATGTTGTGCTCTGTGTCGTCACTCTACAGGCCCTTGCCCACGACGTGGTCTTAAACTCGGCAACAGTTATGTGAAACATTTATTCTGTAAAGGCTGTCCTCTGAAACGTTGTGTCGCTTCAAGATCACGTGAGAACAGTTTCCTATTTTCATTGTGGCTTTTCACCCCCCCCCCCCCAAAAAAAAAGGTTGAACTATTGTGCAAGGGTCTTATGTTTCTCAGAGGCACTTAAATTAGTGCAAGGAACTCACACACAGCGAGCTTGCAACATTGTTAGCTTGAGCCCAGTGGGCAGCCTAGAGCAGCACAGGTCAGGTGTGTAGGACCGAGGTTTGGCCAGCAGGGGGTGCCACTGCCATCTGAATGCTCAGTCTGTGGCAGTGCTCAGAGAGAGGGGCAGTGATTTGGCTGCAGCGTTGAGTTGTGTATAGCCAGGCAGCAATGGCGCCCCATGGGTTTTCTTAACACATTCACACAAAGCAGTCAGCCATAGGGAAGGTGATGTACAACACTTTTGCTGTGACATCATTAATTACCGCTGACTTCCAAAGACAACCGGGACCGGTGACAAGGCAAGGACTCGCTGTCTTTCTCTCTCCCAGACCGCTCAGACCTATATCTCAGTCCATCCCCCAACCTCTCTCACCCCATCGGGACCCTGAAGAACTCCGCTCTCCTCTAGTGCTTTATCAGCAAGTGTGGATCCACCCATCCCTTTAAGATAGGGTAAGGCAGTGTAGCCAGCGAGTTGATTCAACCTTCCCTTTAAGAAGGCAAAGGAATTCACAGTTCCCGTTAAGACCAAAGGGAGAGTGTGTGGAGTCTGTATTCTTACATACTCGTAGTGGCTTTTCAAAGGAGACCGTGCTGTCTGCGTGTGACCCCCCCCCCCCCCCCCCACACACACACACACACACACATTGGTTGTATTGACCAGACGTCTTTCTGAAGGAGTAGTCCCTACGAGTAACTCTTTAACGCCGTCGTCTCTCGTCGTTTCAAGGGAATACCTTTCTAGTACCTCAGTAACAGATATTGAATGTACGTTCAAACCCTTTTCTTTTTTGTACAGCTTTTGTAGAGACCCCTTTGCTATTCCTGACCAGAAGGGTTGTGAAAATTGTAACAATGATGACAATGATAAATAAATACCCCACTCAATAACCGACTTGTCCAAACAACTTTTTAGGATTTCTCTGCTGTTTTTCCCCATGTCAAAAATCTCAGGCTTCGAGACCAGTTACTTATCATCTTCACCTTTTGAAATGTTATGCTTCATTTGTTTCTTTGTGAAAAATGAGCACAATGCTTTCCCATGATTTTACATTTCGACATCAGATTCCAGTTGATCTGACAAGCTTCTTCAACCTCCCGTTCTACAGCACAATGAAACTTGGATTCAAATTGAAAGTGTCAGCTTGATCTGTTTTTATTTTCTGGAATGTAGAACTATCTGCCTTTTCTATTCTCCGTAATGTCATGCAGCTCTAGCTATTGTGCATGTGAGGTATTTCTGGAGGGCAAATGCTATTGGCTTAAAGATTTGTCATCTTGTTGTCCACCCTTTGCTCCCAAATGCTTAACCCTTAACCCTAGTTGCCATTTTGTGGTGGTCAGTAACCAGTGATGTACAGTTTTTTCCCTTTCCTACCAGAGTCTATGAGGACATGGACATGAGGACATTATAGGCTCCTGTGTCATGTGATGAGTATATATTTTTTTAAGTATCCCCCATAGTTTGAATTATGAGCTTAAATTGCCGTTGATGATATTGATTATATATTTTGGTTGTTTTCAGTTGAGCAATGTGTTGTTCGAAACGTTCTGTTTGAATATTTTTTTTTAGACTTTTCATTTGTAATCGCGCTCACTCTGTGTTCAACATGTTGTACTGAAACATTTCAGGAACAAACGTTTAGTGAGTTTGTTTTTGTCCTAGCTGCCCTCCTGTAGTTAGCCTCCAGGCATTAACTCTCCCTGTATAGGAGCTGTAGAGTTGCCATGGAAACACTCACTGCCTTAAACACAGTTGACCACAGTAGGTGGGGTAGGAGAGACACACAGTCAGACGAAACCCCGCTAACAACTCACACCGTAATGTTGTTATTCAATCAAACACTGGTGACAAGGTTTCCCGGTTAAGTCAAAAGTAACATACTCTCCACAGAGCTAAAAAAAAAAGCATATTTGAATTGATATGCAGTTGAGTGTCGGGTAAGTTTCACACTGAAAATGATTTGTTGAGTACATCAATCAAAATATGCATTCTCTAAGTCCAGAAAAAAACATTTCTGACTTAACCAGGTGAACCATTTTGATTGAATATGCCCTACATGTAGCTGAGTAGGTCACTGTCAGTGCTACAGACTGAAGGAAAGTCCATCTGATATTTCACTCTGGGGTGTGAAAATGTTCCCCCTCCTGCTCCGGCGCTCTGAAAGTCTTTCATGGCCAGCCCCGAGTCTCAGGGGGCCACAGCAGACACTGATGTGGTCTGTCAGACCAGCTGAAAATTATGGATAGAATTGGTCACTTTTCTCTCTCAGGGTTGAAATGCACACATATCCACCTGCAGCCTCTTTCTCTCCCTGTTCTGTGTTCCACGCTCCTCAGAATGTAGAGCAGTCTCCTGACTTCAGAAGCCCTCACCATTCTCTCCCTTCCTTCATTTGTACACCGTGAGTTCTGTATTTGCTTTTACCTTCTGTTCTGTTCTTTGGCACTGACATCTAACCTTCATCTAACAATGAATTAATTAATACATGTTTTAAATGAGCTCTGTATAATGTTGAAATTTGGGAAATGTATTTTTACAACATGTGAACATTTAGTTTTTATTTTGGGGGGAGTGTCTTTCACTCATTATTTGCCGTGAATTCATTGATTTACTTTCACCAGACTCCTGTAATGTCTCCTGTAACTAGGCTCTTTTGTTTTGTTTACTTTTTTATTAGAAACAATCATGTTTGTGATGGTAACTTCCGATGGTAAACTCCACACCGTGTTTTAATAAAATCCAAAAAATGAACCCTCTGCTTTCTCGCCCTGCTTTCTTCTGTGTTCTCTCCTGCTCTCTCTGTGTGAAACGTATGTCAGACATTTAACTCATTTGACTGACCACTGCTCACGCGTATGTGTGCAATTTTCATGCGTGCATAGTGCAAGGTTTGCAGCATAGCAGTGTTGACCCAGGTGCGCTGCCTGCCTTCCTCTTCTCCTGTTTATAAAGTCCAGCCCTTGGGAAAGGAGCAATGTTTATAAACCTCTGGCCCCCTAACCAACTCTATTTACAACCCCTGCTTGTCTGTCTTTATACGGGCGTAGGGGTGATGCAGTGCCAAGCAATCCAGAGCTCACAGCCACTTTATGAGTAGGCAGGTGAGAGGGGTACAGTCATAGCACCACAGGGCTCGGGAGGGGGAATGCCAACCCCAAAATTGCCACCACATGTACCGTCCCTAACCCCTGATGAGACTATTCCTTATAAAGAGCAGTCTAAACCTTCTGGTCCCATCGTTGGAGGAAAGCCCCTCTTGGAGAGACTCTGTCCACCTGGATGCTGAGCTATGGCACCCTTAAGAGTATGCTATCTTGGGTGCACACTTGCATGGAGGCTACCTTATAGGATGCAATGCTACCTTAGATTAACATGATACACTTTATGACGAGCTGTTTTTAATTTGTACTCCCTACTCCCTCTGAATAATGTTTCCTCAGAGTCCTTTGCCATCGGAACAACGCTTATATTAGAGAGAGTTTGTTTTCCTACAATTTTATTTTTATTTTCCTTCCTCGCGAGGAACTGCATTTTCCATAGGCCGGTACACAAAAACAATTTCAGCAACTGAAGTCAGTTACTGTTAGGCATATGTACAGCAGTTGCAGATTCTAGAAGGGAAAATACTTTCCTCAACAGAAAACAGCTTTTTACCAGGCTGATTCACTGGCCTCCCTGTTTCACTGTTTCCCACTCAGGGCTGGTTGTTGTGCAACAGAATGGGCTGCTCCACTCTGCTCTGCACCATCCTCCAGCCCTGGTGCTGCATTCCCCTGGCAGACCCCCACACTGGCCCTGGACTGAGATATTTATCTGTCCC